AAGGTCAAAAGCAAGCTCAAAATCATCTACGACTGGGAACTTTGCCAAGCCAACTGCATCCACTTTGTTAAAATCTATAAGTCATTCACATGCTCGTTCACCTAGAGGGCCATTCAATGCTTCAAGACAGATTCCCTCTGGTCTTCCAAAAAGAAGAGAAGCTAAAAATTCCGCATCGAGTGCATCTGCTCCCGCAGCGATGGCGAAACAAAGGAAGCCTCGGCTGCCGGCGTCTGCCAGCGCCGCTCGAGTCCAGTCTCGGCCCGGAACATCGGGGAGCAGCCGTTCAGGCGGCCGGCGTAGCTCTCCGACATCCTCGCCCGCTCGCAGTCGGAGCAAATCCTCGACAGTCTCGTCCCGAGCTCGGCAGACGTCTTCTGCTGGCCGCACGTCCGGCCGCACCTCGGCCGCCTCTGCGCGGACCCACTGCAGCCCGGCTACAGCGGCCGCCCCAGACCGGCGCCGCAGTTCCCAGTCGCCTCGCCCATCGTCGCACGAGGCCCGTCTGGACCAGGTCAAGCACCACATAGACCATTTGCGGCAGAGCCCGCCTCACTTGAGCTCGCCCGACTTTACCTCGACGCGCACCAGCCTGGTTGAGCGCAGTCGCGCGCCGCCGCCGGCTGAGGCCCGGAGATCCGGCGTAGCTCACCCGGGCAACTCCACGGCTCTGTTCGGCTCGCCGCGCTGTTCCGGCCACCGGTCTCGGTCGAGCTCTCGGTCTCAGTCTCGCTGCCGGTCACCGAGTCCGGTCGCCAGAGGTGCGCCCGTCTCGGCTACTCGCCGTATCGGTAGCGCCACCTGGGTGGAGACGCGGAACCGCGCGGCGCCGGTGGCTGGAGCCAGGTGCGGCTCGGGCGCGCGCCGCTCCCCGCCGCCAGTCTGGCAGACGGCGTGCCACCTGCCGCGTGTTTCCTATCCGCGCCCGAGCCCGGCGACCGCGCTGCGCGCTCGCTCGTCGTCTTCACAGACGCGTCGGGCGGCTTCTAGTGATCGCCGTGTGACGCTGCAGCGCGCGGAGACAGCTAAAATGGACTACATTCCACAGTCACGCTATATGGCCCGTCTGCGGAAAAGCGGCGCCGGGCGCCCACCGTCACAGCACCCATCGTCACAGCGCCCGGCCGCCTCGGAGCCGGCACAATCGCCGCGCCGACCGGCAAGGTCAACACTGCGATCGGCGACATCGCCCACCAGCGCTGCAGCCAACTCAGCTCACCATCACCGCGACCGCCACCGGGTCGGCGACGTGCTTGATTGGTCCGCACCTGCGCCTGCGCTTAAAAAGGAGGTACGGACTGCCCTCAGGTCAAGAAATGCGAGCTGGAGTACCACGCACGGCGGCGCGTCGGCCCGTGGCGCGGATCACAGTCGCCGACCAGAGTCGGGCCGCCAGCATCAGTGTGTGCACGAGTACTACATCAACTCTCGTCTGTTCCCGACGCCTCTGTACGCCGATAGCGGCGGCGGCAGCCAGTGTGCGGCCTGTGCTGCTGTCGCGCGCCACTCGCCCGCAGCTCGCCGCCGCTCCCGGTCGCGCTCGCCGGGGTCGGAGCGGGGGCGCCCGCGCTCCCGATCGCCTCGGCTCGGTAAGGGTGCGCGGCGCACCCGTTCTCAAAGCGCCGGCCGCCGCCGCAGCAGCGTCTCGTGGCAGGACGAGCAGGAGCGCTCGGTGAGTGTCACCTGTCCCAACTGCCGACACAAACTGACACTGTCAGCCACGGAGCTCGGTGTCGCTCTCTCTGACTCTGCGGAGCCGGGACGGAGCCGGCGGCGGTCACCGGAGAAGCAGGCACGGACCCGGAGGCCGTCACTGGAGAGGCCGGGACGGCGACGGTCCCCGTCACTAGAGGAGCAGTCACGGCGCCGGCCACCGTCACTGGAGAGGTCGGCAGAGTCTCAGGCCGGCAGACGCTCGCCGCTGACACTGAGGTCGCGACCTGTCAAGGCCATGTTTACGGTGCCCACAGCGCTCTTCCAGGACGCCAGGGAGGAGTGCGGTGGCCCAGGGTGCGGTCCCGCACGGCGATCGGCCAATGCGCTGTGGCCTCCCGAGCTGGATATGTCACCGAGTAGGGTGCGGCCGATTGCTCGCGGCTGGGCGGCCGAGACCGGCGCTGGGCTAGGAGGTCGGACGGCGCCACCGCGGCGTGCCGCTGACCCGATCAAAAACTCCTATAGCCTGAGGCAGTGTATGGGCCAGAGGCTGTGAAGCTGGTCGTGTGCAGGGAAAATGCTAACGGCTACACTGTTTGGCTGTGGGACGATGACGATCATTGGATGAATTAATTTGTCATCCTTGCGCTCTACTCCAATGGCTAACTTTTTCACATGCTGTCATTTTGTGTATGCTACGAAATGTGACTATTATTCTAGGCTGCATGGCGCATAAAAATAAACGATAGCCTTATTGAGACTGTACTTACCTAAATGAATTCCTAATTACGTGATGCCATAGATCGAATGAAGAAGTAAGAGCTGAGCGTTTACCTAAAAGCACCAGCTGCGGCATACTTTGATTATCCATACTCGTACTGCCAATTTACTTTCATTGCACCACTTCCTGCGTGATAAATTATTACTGTTTCGTCTAGTCCTCCCGTTATCGATCCTAGTTCCTGCGTTCTCGCGCACAATTGCACGCTTAACAAAGGCGTCAAGTGCTGACAGCTCGTGTCGACGGAGCCGGCTTTGGGCGACACCATGATGCAGATCAACGTCGGGTTGTATCAATACGCATGCAATGGTACAGAGCAACGGCCAGAGCAAACCAGACGGTCTGCGGGTGTAATAAATGTGAGCAACTTCTTATAGAAACATGATTTAGTAAATGATTTGATATCTGTTGTTCACCGTCATATCATGCCAAAAGCATTTTCAAGTACATGTTGCCTGTCAAGCAATGCTGAAATACACGAGTCTCATTGGAAACCATTTATATTTGCATCGTACCTTTTTTGCATGCATATTCATTCATGGCATGTTTTCGATAATCTTAGGGGTGGTAAACAACACCAATTTATCAAATATTCGTCAGTCAGCCAACAAAAAATAATACATCGCAGCGTCGAGATGACATTAGGAAGCCTCTAAAAATCCGGAAGAGGCAGTTGACAAGACCCGTCAGCAAATGGACCCATGTAAGCTCATGATAGACAATTGAGCGGTGCAAATCGAATCCGTGTCGTAGTGGAACGATGTACATTATTTTATGTACAGCATTATGTATGTATGTTAGAGCGTTCAACCAACCGAGCACAACGGATAAGTACCGTTTGCTACGGTATCGCCACTAGACCCTGATATTCAGTTGCAATGTAGCTGAATATCACTTCCGTGTGCCACTCAGATGTCTAGTTATCATATCCCTAGAGCACAGCTCCTGCAACATTGAAAACGTCGGCACGGCCCTTATCTTTTGGACGCTTCAGTGTCAGCGTATGCTTTGAATTGTTTCCGCCATTACGTTTCGGGTATGCTCTTTCGAATCCCCACGGAAAACAATTTGAGAGCCATGGTCAAAAAAGATTTAACCCTCGCCGGACCTATTGGTATTCTACATACGCGCCGGCCGAGGGGGGAGGGGCGGGTACGACCCCCCCTCGCCGTTTCGCCCCTGGTGGAGCTAGCGCGTCGCGGAAAAAACGAGCGTGTGCGCCGTTACGAGACGCAGAGATTGGTACCCAATTTTAAGGTCCTAGGTCAACCGGTGACCTCTGAGGTCAGGTCAAGTGCCCCAGGGTACGGTTCAGTTTTTGGTGAATAACTTCGCAAAAAACGGCCGCAGAGCGCTGATTTTGGCAGCATCGTGTTCGCCTCGCTCAGGCGCGTCGAATGATATACTTTTTGTCCGGGTCAGGTCAACTTGGGGTGTTGACCTCAGGTCAAGGTCAGGTCAGCACCCCCAGGTCACGAAGTTGGTCGAAAGAGGTCATGTCGCATATCATTCGATTCGGCAGGCCTTCCTGAGTCCATTGGTGCCTTTCCCGACTCGCTAGCTCAATTTGATCAAGAGTTATTGACGAAAAACTAATTTGACCTTGATGACGTCATAAATGATGTCACGCAAGGTCAACATTGCAAAAGTGACGCATCTAACCTTGCAAGGAGTGCATAAAATCACGATTCTGTGTGCTTGAGATAGTTGGAGATCGTTCCCGGCGCCAGAATAGCAGTTTGAATTTTTTCCCCATTGACTTATAATGGTGAGGTCACGAAAATGACCTGACCTCATATGACCTTTAGGAAAAATCCGAGATATACAAGTTGTGGGACTCATAATGGATACTAGATTCTGCAAGTTTCATTTCCCTGTGACATCTCCTCTGGCAGTGAGGGCGTTGCGAAGTTGCGACATCTGAAGACCGTGCAGAGGTTCACTTATGACGTCATAGGTCAGTGATCTGACCTGACCCAAAAATTCGGTTGGTGTCAAAAGATCCGGCTTGGATCAAAGGTCAGGTATGCCAAGTTTCAGCTCTCTATCGCCAGCGTGTTCGGAGCTATCGCGAAAAAACCCTATGGGGGGGGGGGGCGGCACCCGCCCCCCCCCCCCCTCGGCCGGCGAGGGTTAAGAATCCGAGAGGAAGAAAATTTATTTGGAACTTTAACTGCAGTAGTGGAGACTCACACTCACAGTATTTCCCGGCCCCCTCCCGCTACAGCTGTTTTTCCCCACTTAACGAAAATCTGTTACATTTTGAAACCACCTGACACACGCCCTTCACATCTAACAGTCATCTGACACCTATGACACTCCTGTGACACGCCTGACTCTCACCCGTCAATTCTGACACTCCCATAACATATGACACGCGACCGAGACATCTGACACATACCGCTGTCACATCTAACAGACTAACAGTCCTCTGTCACATCTGACACACAATTTTGTCACATCTGACACATACCACTGTTCTATTTGGCACTCGTCTGTCACATGTGACAGTCGTCTGACACATAACTGTCACATCTGACACTCGTCTGCCACCTGCCGGCAGTGTATCAGATGCCATTGGTCGCCGACTGCCCCCCGAGCAGGGTGGGAAGTTTCTGGACACCGCAGATGTCTGGCGCAGGGCATCTCACAACTTCTCCGAGCTCATACAACAGGTGAGGTGCCGATGATGGATGAAATAATTTGTTTATTATTCTCATGATAGTCGGACAAAACAGCATAGACGCTAAAGCACATGTATCATATATGTGGCCTGGTATAGTTGCGTTTCAACTCATTTTCGTAATTCGAAGACAAAGATGCGGTCATCTATGACATTTACGTAGCTATGACGTTTTCCCGGTTTCAGGTTCCTCGTGTCGGGTCGCGGCCGGCCGGCCGCCGACCATTTTCAGAAGTGGCGGGCAGACCGTGCGTCGAGTACTTGCTTTCTCGCGCGGCGGTACTGGGGTTCACTAGCATTGTTTAAAATATTTTCATTTGCCATGAACTTGAAATTATACACTGTAATTAACGATCTTTTGTCAATTATTACAAGTTCTTCAAATTTATTCTTTGAAAGCAAATGATTTCATTTCACTCAAGAATTGTCTTGTCCAGCACTACAACCGCCACCCAGCCGCCATCCATTGGAAGAGATAGGCTCTGCGGCACAAAGTGTCGTTTTAAGCTGGACTGGGAACCAATGTGTGATGACATTTCGAGCTAAATTTATGCTCATTGTGTACCTAGAAGCATTGGGAACAACGCTCTGACTGTACATTTTTAGATTTTTGCCTCTAAATGAAAATATTTACAATCAAGTACTTTGCGAGCGCAGTTTAGAAGCTCCCGTAATGTTAACCCTCGCCCGCACATGCCATTTTCCCATCCTAGAACGCACATGGGGGGGGGGGGGTGGTTGCCACCCCCCCCCCCGCGCCATTTCGTTCCTGTTGGAGATAGAGCTTAGCAGTAAAGACCAAAAAGATTCTTTGGGAAGAGACGAATCCAATGATACCCAGTTTTACCTTCTCAGGTCAGTCATTGACCTTCCAGGTCAGGTCAAACTAAAAAATGTTGCTGTTTTGGGTCACCGTTGGATATCAAGTGCGCTGCTTATCAAATACCGATGACGATGCTGTTTTCTGGTGCCAAGCCAGCTAGAACCTCTTTGTCACACTATCCGACCAGAATTTTGCTGCTGAGGTCATTTCAGGTCAAGTTAGGTCAAGGTCAATTATATGTGTTTGTATGTCTGTGTGTGTCTGTGTGTATACTGATGTGTGCACCGATTGTTTTTGGGTCCATATCACATGAAATCATGATCTGAGAAGCTTTTACCAAAAATGCAGTCAAAAAACTTCACAAAAAGTAAATTCAGCTTGCCTAAAACGCAATTATCTTAGATGACCTAGGTTGACCTTGACCCTGACCTTGACCCCTGTACATCGTCGAACAACATGTTCCATGATAGGTGGGAGGTAAGACTGGCAAAAAAGGCCGAAATCAGGGTGTCAAAAGCTCACAAGGCCCATGGCAAACGCAAGATGTTGAGAATTGGCCATTTGGGTCATGACATGACCTGAAAAACAAGGTCATATCTCCGAAACCAAAAATCACAGAAACTTGAAATTTGCAGTGGACATCAAGAAAGGATAGACGAGCAGCTATACGAAAAATCAGCCTTCTAGCTCTAAAAATGTTGAGTGCAGAGCAGAAAGACTGCCTGGGGGGGGTGGCAACCACCCCCCCCCCCCCCCCCATGTGCGGGCGAGGGTTAAAGTCCTATCTCCAACAAGTATGTAAATACTGCTCTAGGGAACCAACAGTTCGCATCGTACTAGCTTTAAATTATATCCATATTGTTCCCAGTACTTTGCTGAACACTGTGGTGAGTGTACATTTTTCGTTTTTTGCTTTACAAGCGTAAAATTCGTCTGGTTTTATACCACTTCATTCGCCTCCATAGCCCGGTAACGGCGCCGCGCGGCGCGGCCGGCCGGCGCCCGCTGTAGTTCCAAACACTGCCCGATAGATGGCAGGCGCAGAAGTGGTCCCAGCCGTCCCGGTACGTTTGAGATAATATCAGAAATACATGCATAAGATGCCAATCATAAATTTGAATAATGTAGGTAACTGAAATCGCAAATAATAGCAAAGAAAAATTAGTGGAATCAAGCCCTAAGTCTGCGGTTTTCATCTAAACCCCTGTATTACATTGGATCATCAGGATTTGAATGAAATGACAGGATTCGATAAGCAATGATGACGTTTGAAAGCTCACGCCTAGAGGTCGTTTGACAAAATAATCCAGAAGATAGGCTATCTCATTCAAGCTAGATTAATCTAAGAATTCCAAATGGATATGTAATTTGCGGCTCAAACTTAACGGTGAAAAGAGTGTAATCATAAAATGAATGAAATAATGCGTCAATTCAGACCAGCAAACATTGATGCATTTTGAGCAAAATAGTGATATTATATACCAGTAAAGCAAGCACAAGGCACCATTTCCCAGTTTCAACACTTTACTTTATCAATAACGCATATCACTGCTTAAGTATATAAATCGCGTAAAAGCATGACTAACACCTCAGTCCACTATACCCCCTTTTGCTATTTTTACCTGCATTGAATTCCAACGGTGATATGTGCTAACCAGTGCACCTTTTTCCAGTGTTATTTTGGTCGTAACGTCACCTGCGAGCGGGCCGGCGAATGGAGCGAAATCGTCACCGAAATGGGCATCTGCCAGACCTTTCAGACCAGTGAGTCCCTCTCTGATGGATGGCTTCTATGAGTTTGTTAGCTATTATGAGGCACATAAATGACACAGTCCATTGACCACACGGCCGGGTAGTGTTTTTGTAATTAATATTGTCTATGTAGCTGGGATCGCGTGACAACGACGGCAGGAAATGACTCAGTTCCGTCTTGCTGTACCAGTTCCTGTAAGTACATATTACCATGGTATTACTGTATGTAATGACACCCTAGGACGGTGCCAGAGGGCATGGCGACAAATTGACTAACGACTTGCACTTCGTATGCTATTTTGGCATTGCTGACTTTGTCTATGACGCGCATTCAACACTGATGTCATTTTATGTCAGTTGTGGCTTTCAGACAATTGATGTGATATTTATATCAGTTGTGGCTTTCAAACCTTTGATGCCATATATATGTTAGTTGTGTATTTTAAACTATATTTATGCAACATTTATGTGAGTTGTATCTTTCAGACGAGCCTGTGAAAACCAGCGGTCATTTCAACCACCTTTATCTCGTGCTCAATGACAAACAGAAGAAGTTCAAAAATGAAGAAGGTATGTCAGCATAAGTCACAACTTCTTTTAGTTTTGTTATTCCCTACTTTATAAACATTGATTTTAAAACGACGTGAATGCAAACACGTACTCTGTTTCATTTCCGGAGATGGATCACATCAAATTGCACGTAAAAACTCACATTGCCCTGAGTGGTGGTCGTTGACGGCAACCAGGCGCGCTCTGTTCGTGCTTTCTCAAAGCATGCCCTTCAAAAGATAACCAGTCATCCGTAAACCGCGGCATCCTACTAACCCGCCTCCTACCCAGCAGTCAGCACAAACAAAAGCCATGCTGGCCTTCTGCGACAAGTGACCTTGACACATGACCTGTGACCTGAAGCATGTGGCCCATGGCCTGTGACCTGTGACCATTGATTTGATACGTGGAACATTACCTGAGTATCTTGACCCATGACCTTGCGCCTGACTCTTGCCCAAGGCACTTGATCCATGACCTGTGTCTCCGTGACCCCTTGATCCGCTTTGAACGATGACCTACAATCCGAAGTCATGATACATGACCCATGACCCTTCTCGGATAGCCTGTGACCATGAACTCATTGCACTTCGCCAGGTTTTCGTGTGCTGATCCACGACCCCGGCGATGACCCGCGCCTGATGGTCCGCACTCACGGCAGCTCCATCATCCAGAGGCACGGGCGTGACGTGCGCATGGTACTCAAAGAGGTCAGAGGTCAACCGTGAGGTCAGAGGTCACACAACGGGACTTGGGCATTGTGCTCAAAGGGGTCAGAGGGCAAATACAGGGTCAGATGTCACAGAAGAGGTTACATATGAGGCCAGAGGTCACATGGAAGGTCGCAGGTCACAAGTAAGAGGTCACACATGAGGTTAGGGGTCAAATGGCCTCTACATGTCACAGAGGAGGAGCGAATGTCATTTGGAAGCCATCGTTCAAACAGGAGGTGGGAGGTCACACAGGTCAGAGGTCATATATGAGGTCAGATGTCACAGGTGATGGTGGAGGTGAAACAGGAAATCAGAGGTCACAGAAGCAGGAATATTCGCTTTGCGTTCAAAGACGCCAGAGGTCAAAATTGGAAGGTCAGGGTTCATTTATGACTGATAAGAGGTCACCCGTATTCATCGAGAAAGATTGGTTTTATTATATAAGGTCAGGCAGGGGCTGTACTTTCATTTTCTCGTAAATCAAAATGTTTCGAATACCTGCACACTGTGCACAGCTGCTACTTAACTATTAAATTCCTAGGGACTAAGCTAGTAGAATACTGCCACGCGTTTCGCACCATGGCTGACCTCAGACGTATGTCCAGCAGGCATCCCAAATGTCACCGCTGTATTGCCCGCGGTGTGATCTCGCTTTACAGCCGTCCCACGCTCAGTTTCATGGGATGGGATCGATAGCACAGCCAACAGCACCGACACAGCGAACGGCTGACCAATAACGGAGCTGTGTAAACACACCTTTAGTGCCCGCCCCGCGTCAAGTGTGCTTCAACCCCGCCCCATGACTAATGAATTAGCGCAGTGCAAGTCACATTCAAGTAATAGCCTACCTATAGCTTGATTGGTTCTAATAGCAGCCCTCGCAAATCGCATTCTTTATATTTTGCACATATTCTGTAGGCATTCTGTACATTGGGTAAATCGTATCTCCGTATTTCGGTACAAGAGACCTCTCTGCATGAAATAATTCATAACCGGTACAGCTATTCTAATGGAAACCTACTGGAATTTAGACCGCATTGCTCCATGCTATTGCGTATAATGTGCCATTCATTGTTTTTTTTTCGACAGTTCAAGGCGATTCCGAGCCGGGAATACTTTTGTCGCTCCGAGGACGACGGGTACTCGCACATAGGCTGCGAGGCCGACTGTTTCAACACGATACTATATCGGGAGGCTGGCTGTCTGCTGCCGTTCATGAACCACACTCCAGGTGAGGGAGAGAGGGGGAGAGAGGGAGAGAGAGAGAGAGAGAGGGAGATGGAGGAAGGAAGGCAGGGAGGGAGGTAGAGGGAGGGAGGGAGTTCCCTCTCACTTTCCTCGCAAGTTACCTGTCACTGACATTGTCTGTCTGTCTGTCTGTCTGTCTGTCTGTCTGTCTGTCTGTCTAGTGTCTTTCTGTCTGTCTCTCCATGTGTGTACGTGTGCCTCTGTCAAAGTCTCGGGTCTCTGATAGGCTCTGAGCCCAGTTCATATAGAGCCCCTTTGCTGCTAAGGGACACTTATCGGAAAGGGGGACTCGACAGACGGGTTCATATAGCCACCCTTACACACCGGCACCAATGTTACCAAAAGTGTCCTTTTGAAAAGTGGCACTTTTGAAAAGTGACACTTGCCGACTCACTGGCGGATCCAGGCTTGCGTTTTGGGGGGGGCCAACTTATGCAGGAGCCAAACCTAGGGTACCCCAAAATTCTGTTTTCTCATCGGATTTAGGCCACTTATTTTTTGTCACAGCCCTGACACTATGAATATTTTTTTTTTTACTAAAAATAAAAATATATAAATGGTAGCCCACCCGACCCATGCCTTTATATTACTTTGTAAACACTTACCATTGCTTTTGTCGACCAGTAAACGCGCTTCGAGTCAGTGCTTGGGTCCCTTTGCGGGCCGGGAGGTGGTAAAACACCCCCTGTCTAACTCAGCTCCTGGGCCACGCACTGATTGAACTATGTTTCATTATCGCTTGGGGGAGGGGGCAAACGGACCACTTTAGGCCTCTGGGAAGGGGGCACGGCCCTAAATGCCCCCTCCCTGGATCCGCCAGTGTAAGAGACCATTGGAGCTGCAGTTGGGTACCTCAGACGTCAGGGTACGCCCTCAGATGTATGGGACTCGCATGGAGACCTCTTATGCTATAGTGGACTGAAAGGACCCAAAGGAGCCTGTCTAGGGCTCCCGGAGATAGACGTGGGCCCTCAGGAGCCCGCCAGAGCCCCCAATGAGGGATAAGTGAGGGATACCAAGTGCCTGCAATTGCATATTGCATAAGCCATAACGCCTTTACAAATCAATATATTATGTATCAGTGGCAGATCCAAGGGGGGCCACATGGGTCATGATCCCCCTTGGTGCCCGGGGGCACTACAGGCCTGTCAGGGGCACCACCGGCCTAGCAGGGGCACCACCAGCCCGTCAGGGGCACCACAGGCCTAGCAAGGGCACCACGGGCCTGTGAGGGGCCCCACAGGCTTGTCAGGGGCACCCCAGGTCTGTCAGGGACACCAGAGACCTGCCAGGGGCGCCGCCGGCCTCGCAGGGGCACCATGGGCCTGTCAGGGGCACCAGAGGCCTATCAGGGGTACCACAGGCCTTACAGGGGCACCACCGGCCTTGCAGGGGCACCTTGGGTCTGTCAGGGGCACCACAGTCCTGTCAGGGCCCAGGGGCACCAGCGGCCTAGCAGGGGCACCACAGTCCTGTCAGGGCCCAGGGGCACCACCGGCCTCGCAGGGACACCATGGGCCTGTCAGGGGCCCACCGGCCTCGCAGGGGCACCACCGGCCTCGCAGGCATCACGGCATCACGCAGGGGCACCTTGGGCCTGTCGGGAGCATCACGGGCCTGTTGGGGGCACTTTAGGCTTGTCAGGGGCACCACAGTCCTGTCAGGTCCCAGGGGCATCAGCAGCCTAGCAGGGGCACCCTCGGCCCGCCAGAGGCACCACAGGCCTGCCAGGGTCCAGGGGCACCACAGGTCTAGCAAGGGCACCACGTGCCTGTCAGGGGCACCTCAGGCTCCCGTGCCCCCTCCCCCCCCGGATCCGCCAGTGATGCCACACCACGCGAAACACCGCCAACTACCAGCTACCGCGCCATAAACACGTGCCAACAACAGTCTTTTTTTGAAGGTCGACTCCACTCGCGCAACTTTTGACTGACCCCCATTGCTACCATATTGCTTCCATATTATGCTGTGGAAAGCTTTACTTCACCAAGTGGCTAAAAACCTCCATCAAGGTATATTTTCTTAGCAATTTTTCTGACGTTTTGGGGGGGGCCAAACAGGCCACTTTAGGCCTTTGGGGGGGGCCATGGCCCCCGTGGCCCCCCCCTGGATCCGCCAGTGTGCCGACTGGCTTTTCTACATGAACTGGGCCCTGATTCTGTTTTACAGGTTTGCCCAGCAGCGCCATCTGCAATACCACCGAGCACTACCGCAGCGCCATCTGGCACAAGCAGAGCCTGCTGCACAGTGGCGGATGGAACGCCCAGGACAACTGCACATGCGAGCGAAAATGTCACGAGTTCGAGTTCCTGCTGTTTGCCGAGACCGGGGAGATTGTCGACTCCAGGGCTCGGCTCAGGGTCTTCTATCAGGTAAATGGACTGTGACCGCGCCGGACACATCATGGTTAGCCAGGCTAGCCCAACTAAAACCCGATAATCATGAAGCTTACCAACTCAGCTCAATCAACGAAATCGAAAATTATTTTCCTATTTTACATCCAGAGCAAATACTTCGTCCTAAATTGCAATAGCTATACAATTGACATCCTCAAAAGACCATTTCATATTGTTCTTGCCATAAATTTGTTTGAGAACCCGTCTTATCCCATTGACACGTCTTTCTCATTCTCTCCCATTGTCTCATTCTCACTTCCCCCACCGTCTTCGCACAGGACCTATACTACGAGAACGTGCAGGAGTCTCTGGCCTACCCTGTGATACCGCTGCTCTGCGACCTCGGGGGCGCTCTGGGGCTGATGCTCGGCGCCTCGCTGCTCACATTTTTCGAGATCGTCGAGGCCGTCGGCATGCACGCCTTTAGGCTGTATCGCTGCGGCGGCAAACAGGTTAGACAGAGGGGGAGAGGAGCGGGGTAAGAGGAGAGGACTGAATGGAAGGAAAAACGCAAGGGAGGTGATATGGAGACGAGCGAGAATGATGAATGTGGACAAGTGCGGGAAAAGTATGTTGGGAATTATACATTACAACAAGTGACTTTTTTATTTGAACAGAGCCATTCACTGTACCGGGAGACGAAACCCAACCGGTAATTTGCGCTAAAGCTAAGTGCCAACATATTTCATTTTAGCCCAATGTTCACGGTGCTCTGAAAAACGTTACCATAAAAAAACACGAAACTCGAGTGATTGTTTTGTGTACTTTTACATTCACGCACATTTCTAAACGTCATCGGAATTCCAGTAATAGTATCGGCATACTTTCTCAGTCCACAGCTGTTGATTATGCTAACAAGCTAGTGAGAGAATTGTGCCCGATTCTCCCGCTAGATGGCAGTAACTGTCTGCGCCTGACGGTAGACTGTACCGCAATACAGTGCGGGCAATAAGAACAGAGGCAGAGCTCCCGGAGAAAGGAACGGTGCCACACCCTGACTCTCTCTCTCTCTCTCTCTCCCTCTCTCTCTCTCTCTCCTCTCCTCTCTCTCTCTCTCTCTCTCTCTCTCTCTCTCTCTCTCCTCTCTCTCTCTCTCTCTCTCTCTCTCTCTCTCTCTCTCTCTCTCTCTCTCTCTCTCTCTCTCTCTCTCTCTCTCTCTCTCTCTCTCTCTCTCTCTCTCTCTCTCTCTCTCTCTCTCTCCCACAGGACTCAGTTGCCATCACGGGCGCGGAGGAGGAGGCGCCCTCGTTCAGCAGTCACTTTCGGCACAGCCGCCGCTCCGCCGGAGGACGTCGCTCTCGCTCGAGGAGATGCAGCTCCGGCTCGGGCCTCGAGGCCGATTTTTTCGGGGTGTGTCACGATCTGGATCATCTGGATGGGGCGCGGCGGGATCACCGCGATCACCTGCACGTTCCGGGTCACACGGTGGAGACGGGGCTGTTCCGGTGACTGGGTAGAGGACAGAGGGGCCGACAGAGATAAGGAGAGCGGCCAGGACAGGGTGGACACAGAGGGAGAGAGGCGCTGGGAGAGGCAATGAGTATGCGGTGGTTGGAGAGTGGTGCATGGGATTGAAAACAGAGGAAAACTTTGGCTGGGTGCAAGTTCAGTGGGATCCTCGACAGTGGCCATTGATGTCCAGATGTGAGATGATGGTTCGTTTCCGAACCAAGTGGACGTTGCAACGAAGAGCATGCAGTTTCAATGATAACGCCGAAATAAAAATAGCGTTAGATACATACGCGGCTGAATATACGTGAGGATACTAACTAGAAAAATGTGATGTGTTTTTCGACCCCTTGCTGCGAATGGTCGGATTATTGAGTTGAATAATAATCGAGTTAGCTTGTCGGTGCGCAGCCAAGGCAATAGAAACTCAGGCCTACCTGCGTTTTGTTGTAGGCGACTTATTGTGCTATTTATCTGTCGAACTGAATGCTATTATTGCTCGCAACAGTAAACGCTGTTATATAATGTAAGTTATAGCTAACAGAAGAAACCTAACTATATGCCTATATGCCTACAGGGTGTCCCAGAATTACCCGGACATTTATTTTCTGGCTAAAAGTACGACTGCGCTCGTTTCTGATGATATTCAAGCATCATACTTTTAGAAGATATCCCTTAGCTATCGAGATTGGGGACTGTGTGCTTTTGGTGGCCGGTAACGACTCGAATCAATTATTATCCAGAGTCAAGTAAGAGTAGTCCTTTTCCGTTTTCAGCTTAAGCCACTAATAGGCAACCATGGTGAATCAACTCCCGTTCTCAACTTTGTAAACGGACTTTCGGCATGGTTTTTGCTGGAGAGCTTCAGCAGCTCATCTGCAAGCAGTTAGGATTGAGCAAAGCGCAATTATATCAGCTAACGAAGCCAGAGAGAGCAAGAGATAAACCTGATTGACAAGCTTGGGCTCGGCCAAAAAGGGCCATGCACCAGTTTTCAAACAAGTGGTTGCTTGTCATAGACAACAAACGTCACCAATCTAGCTAAAAACTAGCTAAACAATAGATCAGGATTATCTACAAAACATTAGTCTACTTTGCACCACTATCTTCGACAAAATTTTGGAATTTGGGGTCCTTCGCCAGAAAAATACGCGAAAACTACGGGAAAAGCAGCGCAATCACTACAATTCATCCCAAAAACATAACATATACAACAAAACAGTATATTGAAGGACACTTTGTGGTCTAACGAAGGTATTATGTCATTTGAACCGCCTGAAAAAGGCGTGTGTGAACGTCAGATGGCTACAACGCCCCAACAGCAGAAACGGCCAGGCACCCGCCGAAAATCAAATTGTGAGACATTTTGAGCCACCGTGCACTCATTCGGCTTGATATGATGGCTCAAAGACAACCGTTAGCACAGAATACTACTGCGGTAATATTCTACCAGTGCGAAAACTGGATGCCGTGAACCAAATGGCCATGAACGGGTTTGTTTTGGAAACCAAATCTGTTGGAAGCCAAAGGTTGCGCAATGTTCAGACATGGAGCTTCTCCACTCCAGATGTAAAAAACGCAGCAAAAGTGGCGTAGGCAGAAATTTTTGTTTTGGGGGATAATACCTTATGGCCTGGGAACACTTTGATGTCAAGTTTATCTTATATGATCGTATTATCCTCCGGCAAGAGGTCAAAGAAAACAGGCCTACACCCAGTTTCGGGAGACCCGTAAAACAACTGAGACCAGCAATGGCTGGCATTTTCCATCATTGTCGGCTGATCTTGTAACAAGCGTATCTATTGCATGTGCTAATTCACAGCCACCCTAGTTGACTATATAGGACGCGGTAAAAAGAAAAAAGCGCAATCATGGTTGCCTTATTTTATACGCTAATTAACAGTGTCCGGGTAATTATGGGACACCCTGTATGTATCAAAACGATAAGCGGCGGTTTATCATTCTTCCGCAAGTGTTTTAGCTTACTTGATGGAATAACTAAAATCACTTTTAGAATCATCTGTAATTCTGGGGCTTGTTATAGAGATGCCGATAAAAATGGAGCCAGGAAGTCAATGTAATGATCGGTTTATTGTTTTGACCTTCCCCGGGATATTAGTTCTCATCCACCCCGTCGTGGGCTGTATAGTGTACACCTTGTCTTTTACATCTCACTTTAGACGACTTTGCTCGATGCTGATGACCATTGACCTAGGTATGAAAATGATGTTGCGTCAGTCAATGCCATGTGACATTACAATAAATAATGTTATATAATTGTTTGTGAAATATGCCTTGAATCTTACTATAACAAACAGGTAGGTATCTTTTATCATTCGACAAGTAAAGTAGTCACATTATTTCAGAATTACACATCATATTCAAAGTAACTCGTGTAAAGGAAGACGATCATGACAATGTGTCCACAGCCTTAACCCTATTAGTGGCAGGCTCCTGGCTACCCCCTATTAGTGGCAGGGGGGGGGGGGCTGTTTACGACCCCCCCTTGATATCTCGAGATCTAACGGGCCGATTTTCAAAATTCAAACGGCATTCGATTTCGCTCAACGTGATCTACATTTCTAAAAAATAAAAATTAAGAAATGTCAATAGGGGGGGTAGAGGGGGGTAAAAACGGGCAAATTGCAGATACATTTTAGACTGTTTATCACGGCCAGGTTTCTGAACCAATCTTAACGCAACTTTTGCCGATCGATAGAGAATGAACCAGGAATTCACATGGATCCTAAAAATATGCATTTTCAAAAATCATAGGCGGATACAGATCATTGAGATTGGGGGTACACAAAAAGTATAGTAAATAAGGCTTTTGTTGGTACTGTTTCTAAAAAGGGTGGTAATGGTCTTGTTATATTATAATTTTCTTATGAGAGAACGACTAAAATTGTATTGGTAATGCATAGGCGGTGTCAGGGCACCTATGTTGGGAGGTAAAACATAACCCCCCTTTTTGGACGCCTGGATCCGCCTATTATAGCAAAAACGTGTCAAAAGAGGATGCACAATAACTGTATATGTTATCACATGATACCTTTTATTCACTGTTCGTAAAACTGGTGCATCATCGTGATCTTCGCCCAAATGACTCGCTTCACGAATAGGACCCCCCAATTCCCAGTGCTCTGGAGCCGCCCCTGGTAAAGTTATGAACTTGAAATTTTCAGGGAATGTGCCCAATTTAGTTTTAGGAAAAGTCAGAACATTTCAGCATCATAGCTTCAGCGGTTTTGGAGATATTCCCGAAAAACCTGAGGGGTGGATAAAAACAACCCCCCCCCCTGCCACTAATAGGGTTAAGGCTGAAACAGACTCTTTCCGCGTTCAGGAAATCGCATGTGAGAGCCTATTCAAATACATTATAATTCTTCTCGCATCAATCGCATCCGGGAGGTGCTTGCGATTGATGCGAGCGTGCTTCCATGTATTTGAATAGGCTCTCGCATGCGATTTCCTGACTGCCGAAAGCAGGCTGAAAGAGTCTGTTTCAGGCATTATTATCAAAGGCTGAAGACGCGGGAGTTGCAGAATCAGCAAATGTCACGCCACCTTTAGTGGCCATAAATACGCCTCCATTACGAAGTGCACTCAAAGCACAGCCACTGCCTTTGTTGACAATAACCGCGGTAAATAATGCTGGCCTAGACAATAATTTCGTGCAAATTTTTACGCCATCTAGACTGGCAAAATACAGTCAAAGTGCTGGAGATTGATGGTGACAATTCCATTAGGTGCACCATATTTCTGCCAATAAGGAGGCTGAGCTCGCTGCCTAATTTATTTCATGAACTATATAGAGTTAGCACATATCATGCAATGCAGTGCACCGATTGACCCCAATGCGATCAGCAGATCTTATTGAGATGGTTGAGGACCAGAAGACTCATATATGAGGAGCCAAATGGTGACAGACACAACATATCGCCATCTCATCATATCATGCAAGCAACACACAGTTAGAGGTAAGCGCGCTATTTATTATATGTTGCGAAAGCGAATAATACTGCAACTCAGAACCGCTAGCCGCCGCTGTCCTATGCCGTTTCGTCGGACACCGATCGCCCCCCCCCCCCCCGCCCCCGACCACCCGCCGCTGACCCGCCCCGGGGTCACGTGGCAGGGGCGGTGCCAGGCCCGCCCAGCCGGGAGCTCGCCATGGGCGACTCTAGCCAACGGGCAACGGGTGGTCGCAGCCGCCCGTAACATACCTCCCCACACGGAAACAGTCTTTAGCGAAGAACAGAATGATATAGGAGGGTACTTCATCACACCCTCGAAGGCAAACATAACGGGCTCACGAGATATCTCCTAGGCAACAGACTTGTGACTTGTCTCGTTGAGAAAGAGGAGAAAAAAGTGTCAACGAACACCTATCTAACTGTACAGTCACATATACCTACCACTCGGAGATATAGAGGAGTATAGCTTCGCACGCCTGTACTTGTCAGTAAGTACAACCTTCTCTACTCGGTAATGTAGAGGAGGGTGGTGTCGCACGCCTGTATGTATGTAAGTACAACCTTCTCTACTCGGTAGTGTAGAGGAGGATGGTGTCGCGGACCTGTATGTAAGTAAGTACACACTTCTCTACTCGGTAATGTAGAGGAGGGGTGTCGCGGACCTGTATGTATGTAAGTAAGTACAGCCTTCTCTACTCGGTGATGTAGATTAGAATGGTGTCGCGGGCCTGCGCCCCGAACGGCCACCAGGGCCGGTCGTCGGACCTGACCAGCGCTCTGCGGCTGTTGCAGTCGTAGTTGCCCGTCGAGTACAGGGTGGTGCAGTTGGTGGTGATGTGGGGGAACACCAGGTAGGAGATGTCGTACGTCAGGTCCGGCACGGCCGTGAACAGCCCGGAAGAGAGGAGGTACCTCTTCGTGCCCAGCAGACTCAGGCTGCGGCTGGCAGTGAAGTTCTGCTTTGTCTCTGAAACGTGTCAATGGGTGATGATGTGGCAAACGACTCGGCAAATATAAACCAACGCTTTATTTAAAATTTCACTTGAAATTAACAGTAGGGGAGAGTGGGGAAAGATGCCCAGGGCTTGACTATGTCATATATTATTCGAAAATGACGATCGGAAAGCCAAAACTTGGAGTTTCAACGGAAGCCGACATCATTTTTCTCTAAAAATATCACACTTTCGTGCCTGAAATATGATAACTTTTTTTGCTATTAAAGGGACACTCCCACCTTAACATTAGTTTTGAGTTGAGATAGCCAAATTGGTGGCCATGGCCTGCAAATACCGGTTTGGGCACTCACAACATCGACAAAGGCTTTTAAGGGACTATCCCACCTTTAACATGGGGTTTGAGTTGAGATAGCCAAGTTTGCGGCGAGGTTCAGAAACCACTATCTATCTAGGTTGCAACCCCCGCGGCCTCTTGGTGTTGAAGAAATTCGTTCCCTTCATTTGAAAATGGGCCTTGTACAAGGCCCTATCTTCAACATGGAGCGACCGTTAGTGTGACGTCACCTCGTTTAGTCATTCTGATTTAAATGGGTTTGTTCGTTGAAAATCGCTTAAAACTTGGTCTGAACTTTGTTGTGGTGCCTACAGAGTAAAAAGAATCAGCTTTATGATAGTAATGTGGCCTGGGGAAGGAGGTAATTTTGGGCTGTGACGTCACATATTTGAAAGTTTGTGTTTGGAATATGGGAAGCCTAATATGTTTAATGAAAAATAAATGCCAGAACCGTGTTCCTGGTCATCCAATCTATAAAGTCGGGCACAATTTAACTGGTTTTAACAACATTTTAGAAGGTGGGATAGTCCCTTTAATTCGGAGATATGGAATTTCAAACTTGCAGTTTTCGGATTCTAAGGGGCTAGTGCATTGGTATGCCCCCTTAGAATTTGTGACGTCAGCGGAGATCTAACGATTTTTAAATCTTTTACTAAAACGTTTGGTAGCACGCGGTGGTATATGCTGCTTTGCGCGCAACAAATGCCGCACTTTCAAATAAAGTCGCTAGGAACAGCGGAGATCCCAAAAAGTAAACAAAAGTAAAAGTCTAATATCTTGAAAACCGGTGAATATTTTTCGATGAAATTTGGTAGATATTCGTTTTCGCTCTTTCTGAACCGAGCGACATCACTTTCGTGCCAATTCATTAACATTTTTGAAGGTGGGAGGGTCCCTTTAAGCATTTTCCTGAAGAAGTGAAAGGGGGCATCTTACCCCACAGGGTGGAAAAGACGCCCCCTGGCGTTGGGTAAGATGCCCCCTGCACTATAAGTGACATAAATAGGCACGTGAATCGCCTGAACGAATCAGTAGTCCCTTCGAGCCTGCAGTAGACACCAAACGTCATCGTAAGGGCCCTCAAAAGTAGTCGTAAGGGGCTTCAGAGGTCATCGTTAGGGCCATCATAGTCCAGCGTGGCCAAACAAGCCTCCGTGGTGGCGTTCGGAGACCACTGTGGGGCCCTTATAGGTCTTCATGATGCTTGAGGGCCCTCGAGCCCATCGTGGGGACCTCAGATGCCAGCGCGGCCCGTGGAGCCAACGTGGGAGCCCTCAAAGGATGTCGTGAGGGGCCCTGGAGCCAATAATGTGGCCCACAGAGGCCGTCGTGAGGGCTCTCAGAGTCAGATGCCGCCCAAAAAGTCGCTGTGTGGGCCGATAGACCGGCATGGGGAGCACCCGACCGTACCGGACTCTCAATAGTCCCAGATTGGCTTTTGTCTCTCATCACAAGTATGTAATAAATGATTTGACGGCTGCTTGAAGGACAGCCTACGGATTCAGGGGGCGTCTTTCCCCATCAGGACAGGGGGCATCTTACCCCAAGGTACCGAAGTAACATTAAATCAGCACAATTTGTTAGCCATAAAACTACACCCTGAAACAAACTGTTTGGGACACAGTACACGCATGTTAATGTATCACGACTATAGCAAGGGACGCAAAAATTATCTCCCTTCTTTGATATTTGCAATGTTTTGACGCCAAAATATTTTTTGAAAGCAGCAAATAAAAAACATGCAATCACCAGCCAGCCGTTGCCCAACTGAGCTTCGCAAATTTTTGTGCAGTTAACAAGGCAGGCTTCCGCTTTACGCTAAGAGCATTAATTTCCAGGTTCGATTCTTTGTTTCCCCGCTAGAGGGGGTGGGGCGTCTTTCCCACCCTGGGCATCTTACCCCACTCTCCCCTACATATGATTGCTTCGACAGTCTAAATTATTCTTCAACATAACTGTAGGCGATTGCAGCGACACTGCCGACTCAGTCCCTGCCTGTAAAATCATTTATTTTGCGCTTTCATTGCGCTTTTATAGCGGCCTGATACAAGATTCACAGAAACATGCTAATGAGTTGCATTGTTTAATTACTTGTATATTATATGTTAAATTGTTCACTGCATCTTATCGAAATGGACGAACTAAGCAACCAAGTACGCTGTTTTCGTAATCTCCCCCCCCCCCCCCCCAGCACCAGCGCCGTTCAAGCTCCTCATTTGCGGATGCTCCTCATTGGGACGCACGTGTTTGGCACGTGGACAGGGACATTCGCGGAATATTCTGCCACTCAAGGACTATCACGCTACTCGGACTGTAAGTAAGGCTGTAGTAAGGCTACAATGCGTGACCTCACGCAGGTGCTAACGCAAACTGCAATGGATGTCGCGACGTCGGTTTTCATGTGTGTGACAGCTTTAGTTAAGTCATAAACAAGTGCATGGTAATCAGTTATAAAATATTGAGCCATTATGGGCCAAACATAGACGTGGCCCCATGCGCTACTGTTGCCAGGTCTCTTGTGATAGACACTTGGTGTTGAAAATAGCAAGACTAATGTAATGAAGACAACTATAACTTGAAACAGGGCTTTCAAACAAAATTTATGGTATTTGTTGCTTTGACTTAACCTTGTTTTGGGATCAAATCTATAATTTAACGTTTCTCAAACAAAACGTATATCATTCGAAGCGCTAGAGCATTTCTCACACGATGGTCTAAAAAATATGGACCGAATTCGTGACCATACAATTTTTATTGAAACTGCTCACCAAAAACCGGACTCATACCTTAGGGGCTTTGTCTTGTCCTCAGTGTTTTTAGGTGTATTTTTTTTACAAAAACACAAGTTTTTTTTAACATTTTTTAACATCTTTTTTAATATTTCCTCTGCAGAGGACACGCGTTGATCTGAGACAGTAAAGTCGGGTGCCAGTCACTGCGTGTCATATCGGCGCGCTCGTATTTTTTTCTAAAAAGATAACGCTCAATGAGGGGCGGAGCAGCCAGGAAGGTCGTTACATTTCTCGCATGTAGGAAACCGATAGGGCCGGTGAGAAGTAAGGAAAATAAAATGAAACATTGCCGGTGAGTGCATCCGGTTTCCACTAAAAGCAATTATCGACTTCTTCCTTACCAACTACATCAATTAGTGAAGTACAGTAATTTCTGCATGCAATAGCAGCCCTACATATTTCGGGTAGAGAGTGGCCATAAATTTGCGTATCTGCGTGGCGACCAAAAGCGCCCGCACTACCTGCGTGACCGTACTCAATATAAAACACGACCCATATAAGTACACAAACGCCTTCTTTCATTCACGCTGTTGTTCAACAATGGACGACAAATTGCTAGACTTATTTTTTCGCCGCTCACTGTTGTATTTTCCTCCAACGCCCGCCCGCTGACAATCACGCAGTGACGCAGACCAAACTTGCTCGGCGGCTCCGGCTAATAGCAACCCCCAGACGACGGAAAACACAAAGCGGGGCCAGTCGGAGCTGCTCGGACGGGTAATCAGGTAACCAAACGAAGCCAAATGAATACAGGAAGAAAGGTGGTCATAATTAAAATAGGCTTAGAACTTGTTTTTGTCAGAAATAAAACAACTAAGGGCCCTACATAATGGTGTGTGGAGTATGTAGATGTTTAGCGCAATGGTTTCTTCAAAAGGTGCTAAGCTAAAGCTGAAATACAGTGTAACGCGAAAAATAGCACTGCAGTAAAAGAAGAAAAAACAGCTGCAATATCATAGTTTCGTACCTGGCAGAGTGCTGGTGGCTTTAGCAATGATCCACACATGGTACTCCGCTGACGTTTGGTGATCTCGAATGACATCAGCATACCTGAGAAACGGAAAAGTATTACACGCAAAGCAGGAGATTAAATGAGCAATGCAAATCATACCCACTAGCACTAAGCGCATTGACCCGATACAATTTACATCAAATGCGTTATGATCTATGTATTTAGTGAATGTCCTTGAACGACTTATGACCGTTACCTAATGATCAGTGTGTGTCTCATCATTCTCCAGCTACACCTACTTGAGGATGGAGAAGTCCTCAGTCTCGCTGGGGCTGCCGGTCGGCTTGTCCTGCAGGTTGCCGTAGCTCCAGGGGGTGACACCGGAGCTCTGGTAGGCCAGCAGCAGAGTGGCGCCGCCGAAGCCACCCTCCATGCGGCAGTAAGTGAGGACCTGCTGCCCGTTCAGGACGCTCCAGTAGCGGTGGTCGGGCAGGCGCGGTCCGGCCCGGTGGATGTCCCTGCAGGTGACGGTGGTCGCAGTGGTGCAGGTCCGACCCCGACACAGGTCACCAGGCGTGACGCAGTCGGCGTCTCGCCGGCAGAACTCGCCACTCCGGGATCGGGCCGGCATCAGGAAATACTGGGCGCTGTGAGCCGACTGACGCTGGCGATAAAAGTCGATGTAGGAGGCCACCTTGTCGTACAGAGTGCAGCACAGCGACCTGGTGTCGAAGCTGAAGCTCTGACAGGTGGGATGCTTGTGGCACAGCGCGCAACACTGACACGAAGTGCCTGCGCTGTTCAGAGTGTAGTTGGACACTACGTGGGAGGCGTCAAGCGTGCCGAAGTATTCGAAAATCTCCTGACACGCTCTTGATTGGTGGAGAATAGCAGCTAACAGAAGAAGATGTGGTGTCATTGTTACTACCGTTGGCTTGTTCGAGGCTTTGACCGTGCAGCGTTGCCAGCAATGAGCCTGAAACATTTCGCGGCACATGCAGGTACGATGAAGGCGTTTGAATGCCGTTGTTCGAGGAAGGACAATAACAGCAATAAGTTTTAAAGCCGCATGTTTACAACGCTTTATAGCACCCTGAGCTCGCAGTCCCGCAGTTACACAATACGCTAAGTTTCAAACTTCTAGAAATTCAGCTGCATATCGTTGATAGGACCAAAACACTTTTAAAGGCAGCGCTATCTGACTTGGTAAGAAGGCCTTAGGTGTTCTTGTATCAAACGTCTTGAACGGAATGCAAAGTTAATGTGTTCTAAAGAACTGTTTTGCTGTCTGAAAGTGATTTCACCATTACCAAATATAGTATAGCGATTAGCGACAATTATTCTATATTCTATGGTTTATTGCCGTATCTAGCGACTTGAAAAATGTACGGTAAAAACGTACCCATTTTTGTGCTTTCAGTCAGCCAACCCATGCCCCCCCCCTCCCTCTCCAGTCAATAATCCGTGGTGGCATTGTTGTATGAAAGTAATGCATGGATTGTTGCATTAACCCACGCCCCGCTGGGGTCCTGGATTTCCACGCCCTGCTGGGGGGGGGTTGAACACCCCCCCCCCTTTAACTCGGCACCTGGGTCACGTAGCGATGCGTGGAAGGCGGCGTTCGAAAGAACGCCAAAAATAACAATGAAAACATATCGGTGTTTTTTGGTCAGGTCAAAGTTTAGGTACCCACATGTCATCGAAGGCAAAATTTCGCCGATTTTCGGTCGAACACGGACAATTTCAAAGAAGCCAACACATAACTCGGGAACCAATAGAGCTACAGCGTCGCGGAAAAGCGCATTCGATAGCCCTATAAACGCTATTTCTGAAAATAGTTCTCAGATTTGACCTAGCGTCAACGGTTTTGCCTGCAGGGGGCAAAAACTGCCCCAAAATAGCCTGAGAACACTTTTCATACAATAACTTTTAACTCAAGCCTTGCACGAGCTTGCCTTTACGGGTATCGTGTTTCTCTCGTCAAGACTCATCAAATGACCTATAATTTGATCTTGAAAGGTAAACTTGACAATTTGACTCTAGTCAAGGTCATGACCTGACCCAAAATGGTCATGTTGCATATCAATCGATCCTTATCGTCGTGCTGATTACATCCAAGGCATTGCCATCGCTCTAGTGCGCCTCTATCAAAAGATATTCGCTAAAAACTGTTAAATACCATTCGTGACCTGAGATGACCTCAGGCCTCAGGGGCATAAACCGGGGTCATGGGTACCATTTTTATGTTCAGTGTGACAAAGTTACTTGTATTTCTGTGTTTGAGAGTGTTTATAACGTCCTTCGTCCAAAAGAGGCGCCTTTCAAGATTCTCCCATTTACTTACTTTTTCCCATTTACTCGTATAATGGGGAGGCCGCAAAACTGATCTGACCTTAGGTCACCGATATCAAAATTCCGAAATAAACAATTCGTACATACCATTGCTCTTACCAGTCGCAGAAAGTTTCAAAGCAATCGGTCACTCGATGTAGCTGGCAGACATTGAAACTCTTTTATGAGGTGAGTTCGCTAGAAGTGACCTAGTGACCTGACCTTGGGTGACCTTGGTCTATAATTCTTAAAACACATGTAGAATTGGTGTAGGATAAGGTATGCCAGAAACAACGGCGCTCCACGCCGCCGTTTTTAGATATTCGCGAAAAAACATGGGGGTTGGGTGTTCAACCCCCCCCCCCCCCAGCAGGACGCGGGTTAAGTAGGTAGGAATGGAATTTTTATTTCGAAATATGTCATGCCTAACATATTTGTTGCTTTAGTGAATGCATCTCACTATTTGATTTACTTATTTGAAATTTATATGTAATTTATATGTGTACGTTATGAGTATGGTAAAATTACAAAAAGAATAGTAAAAATATTTTCCCAAAAGCGTATCCATGCTCAAACGATACAAGCACACCCAATGTGCCCCTCCATTGGTCACGAAAAGCTCACCCTCCTTCTCCAGTGGCCCAGCGCGGCTCGGGTGTTCGTCGCGCCCGACGACTGAGTCTTATATAGCCGGGTGCGCCGAGGGACGATTATTGACCGCTAGTTAGGCACCGGATCCGCAACCGACACCGCACGGTAGTCGGACGAATATTATACATACCTAGTATTGTTTTATCGATATTCGGGTGTTGAAAAAGTCTCTGACGAAACGCGTCCACCCATGTGCTGTATGTTTTTCCTACTCAATATATATCCATACCTAGTTACATTACATTATCCGTATATAATGCATACATGCATGTACTTACATACACTCCGCCGTTAGAGGTGTGTTGTAGCCGATCCTGGCTACTCCGGGAGATTCTGTTAGATGTTGTGACATTTTGACCCTCGCCCCGTTTTTTTTTTAAGGGGGGGGGGTGTGAGACCTGTCCTTTTTTCTTCCATATCTCCTAAACGAAGGCTAGCTTATAGGTACGACTACCGAACTTTTCATAAGTTTACCCTTTTCGACCGCAATTTTACACGTACACATCCTGACAAAAGGAAAATATGGAGATCCCAAGCAGAATGACCGAAAAAGACTTCAGGGTGGCGTCATGTTCGGTCAGTTTTGGTGCAAAACATGGTTCTACAACACGGACAATGGCTCTAAAGAGCTCAGTTTTTTTTATAGTACTAACTTCGGTCCCGTAGCTCAGTTGGTTAGAGCGTTGGACTCCGCGTGGTGAGAGCACGCGTTCCCGCTTATGACAGTCCGGGTTCGAAGCGCGACGGGCGCTCGATATTTATGGGCCTCCTGACAGGTATGGTTGCGGTTGGTGGCAGGCCGTAGCCAGGCGAAGTCAGCGAGGGGACCGGCCGTGCGCGGCTTTGTGCGCACGTTAAACTTTGGACTCTAAATTCTGCCATAGATTCGGAATTGCGCGATTGGAGGGTAGAGGGCAGGGTCATCGCAACAAGCTTCGCTTAGCGGTGGCTCTGTCCTTGTATAGACGGCTGAGTTTCGCCGCCCGCATCCGTCCGCGGGAGGAGGCCGTCGGCCGTCTCCTAGCAACTGTTGCTAGGGCAACGCCACCCCGCTCCCCGCTTGGGCAGCGACAGCTGACCAGACGCTCAGAGGAGAGAGTCGGCGGAGCAGGGGCCGGCCGGACTTGTGCCTGTTTTTGGTTTGTTTTGCCTAATATAGCAAACATGTGATTTTAAATATCGGCTTTCGGACCTAGACTCAACCACAGTCTACATTGGTGGCAGCGGTGCGTGTTTATCGCAAAACTATGCCTTTTGAGCGCCGCAACAAAGTGAGAAAAAGTAAAGCCGATTATTTTCTGTGCCTTTTGCACTGACATTTTGGCCCGCTTGATGCGTGGCGAGACATTGAAGATCGAGCTAGCTTGCTTGCTGGCTATGATGAAACCAGATGGGACTACCACAGCTGCGGTGGCCAGCTACCACACCGTCTGCACTGCAACATCTGCGAGACTGCGCCATGAGACAGGTCAACTTCGAGCTTTCCTCCATTGAGGTTGGTGACACGCTGCTCCATGACCTGTGTGCGCATATTTAACATGTCGCTCGTAAAAACTGTCTCGGCTCCGGACAATGACTGCACAGTGGCAGTGAGTCGCGCAGTTTCTGTGAAATTCGTCGAGTGACTGAGGCCTCGTTCACTGCCTCACTGAACTGAACTTTCGCTGATTTTTTACCGCTGTGGCTCATCGTTGATCGTCATTTTATGGAAGAAAAGTTATAACTCTATTTTTTTCATCGCAAGAAAGTTAAAAAGTTACATCCTTTCCGTGTCATATCCTTTCATGTGAAGGTGCCTTTCTTTTTCCTTGTCCTTTCATATGTGAGAAACGATCATTTGCCTGTGTTCTATCCTTTCCCAGTCGTACCCATTTTCCGTATTTTTTTTTCTGGTGTTTGTGCATTTCATTACGATGCCGGATGATGTAAAGCCACCTGATCTGGATTCTGGTTCTGAGATGGCTGTTAGAACCACAGTGCGTGACCCCGTTGACATTGCGATGTCGTCTTTTGTTTCTTTGCCGCGTTTTAATGGGGATGGATCTCTGCGCCGGTATTTGGAGGATTATGACCGCTATGCTCGTGTTCAGGGGTGGGATGAGCGACGCAAACTTGACGTTTTGCCACTGACTTTGACTGGCATTGCTCGCGATGCGTATGATGGGTTGCCTGCGTCCCAGCTTGGCTCATTTTCTGGTGTGGTTGAGGGGCTACAGTCGGCCTTTACCAAGGCGTCGGGGACTGACCACCATTTGGCGCTTCGGAACTTGCGCTACAGTGCAGAGGAGCCCCTGGATGCATTCGTCATTCGTTTCAAAAAGCTGATGAAGCTGGCCTTCCCTACTGTAGACGACCTCACTCCTCTCCTGTTCAGTCACTTCCTCGCTACGCTTCCGCAGGAGTATTACACTGCCGTAATTGCCGATGGCATTTCTTCCTTTGACTCTGCCGTCACAAAGGTGCGCAACATTCAATGTTCACGAGTAACAATCGGTGCTGCAGCATCCCCGCTTGCTTCCGCTGTGTCTCCTGACCAGCGTGCTCCAGGCTCTCAGTCCACTGTGAAACCAGTCCGTGTTCTTGAGTCTGAACAGTCTGTTGTCGATGCTCTGAACAAACGTGTCTCTGAGCTTGAGGCCCGCCTGGCTGCAGTGACGCTCCAGGCCCAGATGAACCCAAACGTGTCCAACCGTCCCAACCGTGTCCAGCGTCCGAGAGGTGACGCTGCTGCTTCAGTGACGTGTCACTGTTGTGGCCGCGCCGGTCATGTCCGTAACCGGTGCCGTCTGAATCGCTGTCGATGTTTTGTGTGTGGCGGTGAAGGTCACATCGCCAAAGTGTGCCCAGAGCGACAGCAGGGAAACGACCAAGGGTCCGGTCGTTCACACGGGGTCGCCGGTCGGACCCAGTAAGCAATGATGAAAAGTCAATCCCGATCACTGATACGATGCGCATTACGGGAAGCGTGTCTGGTGTCAAATGTGAGTGTTTGCTGGACACCGGCAGTTCAATTAGCATCTTGCATAGCTCAGTGTTTGATGCCCTCCCAAATGTGACCCTGAAACGTAC